GTGCGGGCAATATGCTAATGTTTCATGTTGACATCAACATGAAACGGCTTGGGATTCGTTTTAAAAACGACTCGTTTCAATGATTCAGAGTCGACTCTTTCTTTTGAGAGACAATAACTTTATACACGGTGCACTTTCAGATTTAAAACTTTGCAGGATGTTTTCATTGATTTAGAGCTGCGTTACACACTGCATGACAAGTAATTTTCAAAAATCCATAAAAGGGGCACTTTAATACTTGTGTTAAATGTATTATTCTAGTTAGTACGCTACTGTTTAAGGGGCTGGTAAGGTTTTTAAAGTTATTAGTCTCTTATGCTCTCCAAGGCTGCATTCATTTAATCAAAAATATAGCAAATACAATAAAAACAGTAACATTGTGAAAAATTATTACAATTACAATTTGAATCATTGCACTAGTCTATAGTGTCACATGAGCCTTCAGATATCATTCTAATAAGCTGATTTAATTCTCAAGAAACATCTCTTATTATCAATGCTTAAAAGAGTAGTGCTGCTTAATATTTTTGTGGAAACCATAAACATTTTCTCATAAATTCTTTGATGCATAGAAACAGCATTTAATTGCGGAGTTGAGTCTATTTGTCAAGTTAAAATATTAACATTGTAAAAATAAACCTTACTTACTCCAAACGTTTGAATGATAGTGTGTACTGTATGCAGTTTATCTCATGCATGTAGCAATTTAAGTATCAGTCTCATTCATTAAACAATTAATAGTCATAGAAATCAAGACGATGTGTGAACTGCAGATTCACACCAGCATTCCTGCTCTCATCTGACCCTTTAGGTTGCACCTACTTCAGGAATGCAGACCGACAAGCTGTGAGATGTTCATCGCTGCGACAGAGAAACTAAACAATGCCATATCTCTAAACTGTTGCTAATCAAGAGCATTATTGTAATTAACTTCATAAATCATGAAGTTATTCTGAACTGTAAAAAGAAATTCTGTAGGTCTGGTTTAAGCTGCAGCAAAAGATATTTGACAAAAGCTCTGTCAGAAGACACTTTTTTTATGCAGACGGCATTCAGCGTGTTGCCAACAAAATGTTCATCTATTCACTATCATCTGTAGTATGTTCCAGTGTGTTTGTGGGTGTGTCAGCGTGTTTTGTGATTAACTCTTGCCTCAAAGTCACTGGGATGAAACATGTTTTGGATGATGATGACTTTTTCATGCCTTTTTCGAGTTTCCGCAACTTTCTGCGGCCTCCAGTCCAGCTGCCTGTTAATTATAAATTCCAAAAATATCAGTCATAACTACAGCAACACAAGAAATATGGTGATTAGGCCGAGCATTGTTGCACAATGCGTCCGAATCAACTATATAGAGCTGCAGGAGTCAGTCTGAACCAGTGGCGGCTCGTCAGGGGAGGCACAGCTTCCCCATAATTTTGAGGTGAAAATGGGAGGACGACGATTTAATGATAATAAAAATCATAATTAATTTCAGTTCATGTCTCAGAATGTGTATTTTTTGTTTGTAATTTCACAGCTGTAATACCATAACGTGGAAGCGCCGCTTTTCTATTGCAAATGTGCCGAATCTGCTGATGTAATTACAACCGCTAATGATATAGAAGGGTAGGGGGAGGCCGAGGGACAGGTGAGCTCTCGTGCCTCCGTTGGTAAAAAAAAATGAGCCAATCACCATCGAGTGTTCACTTTCAGCGCTGAGGAGTGTTGCGAAAAGAAACCTCGTAAGGGAGGCTAGCCTCACTTCTGATATCAACCAATCATCAAAGAGACGTAAATTACGTAATATTAGTTTGAACGTCTGCCGCTGCGCTGATAATGTACCAAGTACTTATGAGTAGCGATATTGAATATTTGATCGCCAACAGATTTACCAAGCTGTCATTCAAACAGTATATATACAAATTTAGGGAAACAGCCTAAGCTGCAACAGGCAGCTCTCTTTTAACAGACTTTTAAGAAGGGATGGATGTTTGCTTCAAGTGATAGGTCAGGTAAGTGAAATTATATTATCTTGCTGTATGCATGTCGTTTTCTTAACGTTTTCTGACTAAAAGCAACCAAAACGCCATTTTAAAGTGGTTAAGCAAATAATAATAATCGGCAGGGATCCCAGACCAGAATACAATAGTGTGCCTCCTCTATTTTAAAACCCACGAGCTGCCACTGGTCTGAACAGGTTCTTACTTTTGTTGCTGCTGGAGCTTTTTACGGTATTCTTTGTTCTTTTTCTTCTTCTTGCTGGCATCATATTGTCCTTTGAGCTCGAATCGCGCTGCTTCCACATGCAGCTGGTAGCCCCGAATCTCTGTCTCATCCAAAAGCCGCACGGCAAGAGCTACAGACTCTTTCTGCAAGGAATTATAAAATAATGAAAACATTGGTCTACAAATTATATAAACACACATGTAAACAGTGTTAAAGAGATTACAATGTTAATTTAAAATACAGTTGAAATAAAAAATAATGTTGCAACTAACTAAAATAGGTTTACTTTGAAGTACTAAATTACTACAATGAAAAATAAAGCTAAATAGAAATGTGTATGTGTGTATATATATAAACATACAAATAAAAACAACAAAAGCAAGCACATAACAAAATTACTAAAACTAAATTTAAAATGGACATAAAAATCAAATTAAAAATATTAATAAATATTTTAATAGTATATAAATAATAGTAAAATAGCATTGAATGTAAAGTAAGTGTTTTTATTTTACACATATATATATATAGAATATCTATAACTTTTATGTTGTGTTCTGGTCATTTAGACCCAGTGAGGGTTTTTTTTCTTCCTGAAAATGCTAGTTAATGTTATCAAATTGGACTAAACCTGACTTTGCTCACACAGGGTATTACACTGCTAGCTTGTCAGTTTCTTGTTAAGCAGTGAACTTCTTTTCTTTCAATTAGCACACGTTTTACATTTCTTTTCGGAGCTTAATTGAATATAGACCTCTGAGCTTATGTATCTTTTTTTTGTTTTTTTTGAGTAAACACTGGAAAAATATCCACATATAATGCTCTTTTACTCATAAACTAAGATGCATAAGCACAGATCAATGTTGCCTATGATCAATCAATTTCATTCAAGATTTTCAGCACAGCACAAGGGATAAATAAACTTGATCGTAGTATTACAATGACCAACCTTCAGGTAGCAGCAAAGTCCATCTCCTTTTTGGTTTCCGTCCTTGTCCTTGTAGAGCTTGATTTTATACTCTTCTGTGATAGGATCACACATGATAATTCCACATTTGGACATGACCTCCACAAACTCATCAGGAGTTATGTCTGGAGGAAGACCTAGAAGAGAGACACATTCACGGAAAGACATTTTGTGAGCCTAACTTTGGATTGACAGCTCTTTGATTTAAAAAACAGAAATGGCCAGTAGAAGGAGTCATACCAGTATTTACAACATCATACCAACTTCATATCAAAATTATAAACAAATAGTAATCTACTGTAATCTAAAAATGGGGAAATTATTTACCTGTCACATAAACATTGGTGTTTTTGTCCTTTTCAACTTCAAACCATCCTTTAAAACACAACACACAATGTTTATTTGTTAACTAGAATACTTGGTAAAACAAAAACAAAAAAAAACTGGTAATGAATCATTTCTAACCTGGATCTGCTTTCCTCTTCTCTCCTTTCTGAGCTCCCTCCTTAGTTTTTTCCTGGTTTGAGCTCTCCTCCAGCTTCTTGGGTTCTTCTGGTTTCTTGGGCTCCTCTGGTTTGGCAGGGAGAAAGTCGGTGACAGGGACCGCAGCACTTGGATCAGGGGCCCCTTCCTCATTGAAGCCATAGTTTGCTTGATATGCTGCGATGAAATCATCATTTACCTATAAAGAAACAAATAACAAGTGAACCTTAATACAGAACTTATTAATTAGCTCTGACCGGGTTATGAAAAAAGAATTGAGTAAATGTAGTATTTTGTTTGGGAAGGAGAGACCTTTGGAAACCATGCTCTCTTTTCATGGTCCCAGTCATACACAGTGCCGTCTTCTGGGTCGACGTATGTGTTTGGATCTTCTCCAACCTCTCGCCTCTGTCCATACAGCTGCTGCAAACGGAGCTGCTCATGGAACTCTTTATTACCGTCTGAGTCCCCGCTCATCTACAGAAACCAAGATAAGACAAGAGATACTTAATGTAAAAAATCATGAGCTCTGCAGACATAAAAGACACATATATATATATATATATATATATATATATATGAGTTATGAGTTCTCAATGTTTTCAGCCAAAACATCTTGATAGTTTTGATGATGAGAAAGACTGATGTGAACTGACCCATATCAATTCACTAATGATGTGACGAGTAAACACAGAGGTGCTTATTGGCTTATTTAGAGCCCCATCGCTATCTAGATTTAATATGTGAGGTGAACAATAAGACCTTTACTCTGTTTTAACATTTTAAATAAAGAATATATTAAAAAGAACCCACCGTTTCCAGTGCTGAGCCTCCAAAACGTAAAACGCGTTGCACGTCCGAAGAACGTGCAAGTCCGCCGCTATGCGTCTTCCGGAATGCAACTGACGGCAAGTACACATGTGTAGTTCCTCTTTCTAAGGTCCCTTTTGCAGTACTAAGTCTATGTTTTTCATTCAAATTAACTTTTTAGACTTGAAAGATTTATTTAGACCTTAAAGATTTATTAAGGGAACGTGTTGATTATTTCACAAAAATGCCACATCTCCTCAAACAAATTATACATTTGTATACATCATTTAAATATGTAATGTTGACACAGGAATAGGTGCATAGGCTACTAGTATAGTAACTCCCAATCAAGTCAGATTTATATCATTTTTGTTTAAGGTTCAACATACCTTTTCTTGATTATACTATTATTTCATGAAACAATGTTAGGGTATAATGTAATATGATCTGAGGAATCAGTTTTCTACATGTTTATTCACTCATTTTTTAAGAGTGGCATTTTAAAATGGAAAGTTACCAGAAAAATGTGTGCTTCAGTACAGAGCAACAAACAAAAACAGTCAAGTTATGTTGGGTAGATATCTGTGTCAAATCCATTCTTCCATGGCCTTGAAGGAAACTCAAGCCCACTTGCTGTGGCAGGAGATGTATCATATGGAAGAACCATCTATCCTGTTCTGGCTCTTGGTATTACCAAACTGTTTTCATATACAAATCCTATCACAGGAAAAGTTAAAACAAGAAAACATAAAAGATTTGAACCTTATAGCATTAACAATTTATCATATTGGTAATGTCTTACCAAGGTCGGGTCTTGTGATAGTCATTTGATGTTGACTGGACTCTAAGGAAACCGTTGAGCTCTGAGTTGAATTAGACTTGATGGATCTCACAGATGCCATGAAAGGAAACATATTTGGTGGATTGGGTTTGTGTTTGGGAACCACAGTTGCAGTTTGGCTCCATTCTGAAAACAATCAAGAAGTTAGCATTTGGGTTTTCCAAGATTGTTAAGGTTGCAAGAAAGAAATTTGTGCTTTACCAGAGTATTCCTGCAGCTTGAAAGCTCCACAACATAAATGTATTCTCCATTGCTTGCGTACGTTTTCCTTCATGAGACAATGGAACACAAAAATAAAGAAACCTGGAACAAATCACAACATATTAATGGATTGGATGCTAAAACTGAATCTAAATTAATTGTATGTGCTCTTTCTCACCTTGAAGACTGTTCAGTATGGAGAACAGGTAGAGGAGGAACACTTTAACAGGACCCCAAGCGAGAAAAGCCACAGACCAGGTGAGACCCAATAAGAAGGTAAGGCTCGCCACAGCCCGCAGGTCTTTCAAGATTCCATTTCGGGTGCCGGCCGGTTGATTGACTTGCATGTTTCGGATCTGGATCAGAACCACTAAGAAGATGGAGCCATTGCACAGCAGTATGAAGGCTATGTAGCTCACTACTGACATGTAGAAAACCACATCATTTTGCACCCAGCAACTGAAAAAGATAATTCACTTTCATTTGACATGATGGTAACAAAGTTATTTCTTATCTGTAGTGCTGTTCTGTCACGATTTTCATGAAAAATCAATCATCCAACTTCACTAACAACATTTCCGAATCATCCAGTGTCATTTGAGAATCACTCATGGTGTCCATGCCATATGCATCTCTCTTTATAGCCACCACCAAGCCACATATAATAAGTGGAATCCCTGTACAAAGACATAATGGATGTTAAATGGAGATAAATGAATGAATTGAAAACATAAATCTGTCTCTAAATGTCTAAATGATCTTAAATGTCTCACCCCAGCCAAGCAGGCAGAATTTCAAGATGTATGAGGGCACATACACATTGAAAACTTTAACCAAAGCAAAGTACATATTCACAGCCCCTAAGCCCATCCAGGTAAAGGAAGCCAGTAGGAAATAGTGTAAGGTCACCGCCACAGCAATGCACAGGCCATAGATGCCAAAAGAAGAAATCCAGGAGTTCAGCAGGAACACAAGGTTCAGTCCCAGTAACGCAAGAGACAGATTCAACAGAATTTTGGATGGGTAGTCTCTTCTTAACTTCCTATTAAGATGCAAAGCATCAAAGTTAATGGCAAAGCAACATAACATGAAAAATTATTTATACAATTTACATTTTCTTGTAAATTTTGAACAGATGTATTACAAGTACGCTGCATTGCCATATATAAACATCAATTATAAATTAGATCTTACTCTAAAAGGGTGTATGTTAGCACTGTGATCCCAAGAAAGCATGAAGACACACCACAGCCCATGTATGTAATAAGAGTGAGGATTTGCTCATTCTTCTCATCAATGGGAGTTCTGGACACATCCTTAAATTAAAAAATAAAATAAAACCATGGCTTAATACATATTATTGAGGCCAAAATATCCAATGCATATATACTAGCTTCTCTATTCTTTTGTATTCTATCTATTTGTTTTCTTTTTATTTATTATACCATTAACAAAAGCAAAAAAGGCCTCTAACACTAGCTTGCTCTATTCTTTTTCCATTCTATCTGTTTTCTTTTTATTTATTATATAACAAAAAAAAATTCCACCTTTGGATAAAAGCATCTGCTAAATGACTAAATGTAAATGTAAATGTATAAGTAACTGTAATTGAGTATCAAACACAGAATCGTGTCATACCAGCAGCACTCCAAAGTGGGTCATGTGGTCACACAGACAGGTTGTGTAATCACTGCTGCTATTATACGTCCAGCACCCCTTTGGATTCCATCCGCCATATCCATCTAAAACAGTACATGCACAAACCAAACCACACATGAGATGTAGAATGTGAGAAGAAGAAGAAAAATGTGTTCATGTAGTCCAAGTGACTTGCCATTCTTATTGAAATCCCAGTAGACACACTGGACATCCTGGTCTTTCTGTTAAAGGTAAAGACAATTTAAAAATTGCCAGTGTTCTGCCAGTGTTTTTTAATTTTTCCTGGACATTACTAAGAACTACAGTGCTCACTTTCTTAGTTGTTAGATGGTGCAGAGTGACAGCAATATATTCTTTTAGGTTTTCAATGCGTCCTGTGGCATTAGTTACACTAGCAGACACCACGTAAGTGTTCAGTCTTTTCCCATCTGGGTCATTCTGAGACAAACTCACAAATATATTGTGTCAAAATAATCTAACAGTGAGATAGACAAACTGTAACATGAACATCTGCAACTAACAAAGATGAAGTCACCCTTGTTTGAAAGAGAGTCGGAACTCCATAAAACTGAAACTGAACACGGGGGCTGGTGTTGTTCACAATGGGGAATCGCTCTTGTATTTCAGAGGGCAGAGAAACGAAGGCCACTGTACCATCAAAAGGCTCCTGGTTGATATAAATCTATAGAAGAAAAGCATTTGATCATTGTGTGATGATTTATATGATTCATTACATTATACTTTCTTAGGGCGAAAAAATATAAAACAGAAATCCAAACTTGCTGGCCAAATTTTGTCTGAAACATTCAGTGATCAATACTTGATGATGCTTAATTTATTACATAAATTATAAAAAAAATATTATAAATTAAATTATAAATTATCATAAAAATGATTACATAAATAATAAATTGTATATTATTATATTATATTATGTTATATTATAAAGTCTATCCCCAAACCTTTGAAAAGGAGTATATAAAATTAAAGTTCCACTAGTTTCATGAAGGTGCTGTGCACTCACCTCAGGGTTTAAGCCTTTGTTAGTGGAAGAGACTCCAAAGGTAAGGTTGTGAAAATTTCCTTGGTCAATATTGACCACTGATATTGCTAAGGCAGGAGCTGTTAAGCTGACTGACTCCCCATTGAACCCTAACATCTGGTCTCCGACAGACTCTGTGATGTTCAAAATACTATACAAACACAGGGAGGGATGTTTTGTTTACATGGAAAGCCTGTAAATTTTTTTTTTACAGGAATCTGCCTGTAAAACCCGCACATCAACAGCAGACCTAATTTAATATATATTTACACACAATATATTTCACTGTTAACCACATAAATTAAAAATCATTTCCTATATTTGTTTGATTTTTATTACTTTTATTGTTTAATAAAAATCAAGCAAATATGTTAAATTGACACTCAGAGTCACACACACACACACACCTGTTGGTGAAAGGCAGAAGGTTGCTGTCAGACTCCAGGATGTCAGATGTGATGTTGATGATGACCTCTCCCAGCAGAGGCGTGATCACGCTAACGTTAATCACATCGGCTAGTTTATCCAGTACCGTTGAGAGCTCATACTCATCCAGATTTTTGTTCTCATGTATCAAGTCCTCAATCATGATCAGAATATCTTCTGCATTGTCTAATAGGAAAAATGCATAGGGATTTTACGATGCGCCCATATAAATATTTGTATCATACAGAGGCTAATGTGTTAAAACAGATTCCTATCCACTTGTGTAAATTCAGTTAATTTCTGTTTACTTTAAAGGAAACAAATAACATCTGAAATGCTGAAAATTTCCTCACTCTCAGGCCATCCAAGATGTGTAGAGATTTGGAGAAATTTAGCATTACATAACCAGTGGGTCTTCTTTGTGTGTCACAAGATGTTAATTGATGGATTGTGTGGTAATTTGTGGATTACTGTGATGTTTTTGTCAGCTGTTTGGACTGTTTGGGCACCCATTCACTGCAGATGATCCATTGGTGAGCAAGTGATGAATGCTACATTTTTCCAAATCTGTTCCGATGAAGAAACAAACTCATCTACATATTGGATGGCCCGAGGGTGAGTACATTTTCAGCAATTTCCATTTCTGGGTGAGCTATTCCTTTAACAGGAAGCTTGTGTATCTAATGTTCACCATTAGTGACTGTAATGTCCTCCAGGTCTGACACACTGTTGGCCACAACCTGGCATTGCCCCAGGTCTGGAGATTTCCAAAGAGCTCCAACGTTTGCATCCAGAAGACTGTTTGGCGAGAAGGGTGAGAAGGTCACAATCAATAAACTTATCAAACCATGAATTATTTGGATCACTCCCCCCCCCCCCCCCCCCAACCTGGCATTGCCCCAGGTCTGGAGATTTCCAAAGAGCATTGTTAGAATTTGCACCTAGAAAACTGTTGGGAGAGAAGGGTGAGACTGTCACAGTCAATAAACCTATCAAACCATGAATTATTATTACTATACTATTGCAAATTGTTCAGAGCTGCTTGACTCCAAGATACACAACATTATATAATGCTGTTCAAGTTCAGGTTTAAAACCTGCTCATCCATTTTATGGCTGTAAATAAACCTTGAATGACTGGAACATTATGGAAACACAAGAGATTGAAATCGATCATACAAACAGTTTTGACATTAATAATACTACTATATGGTACATACATGTGATTGATTGGTTTACAGCAGCCCCTTCAAATATTATATCAGACAGCTTCCTCTTTTTAGAGTTAGTGAACAATAACCCAGTGGAGTGTCAAAAGATGTATAGGCAGATTTACAGGCTGTCCATCAATGTCTCATTATGTATAACAGAAGTGGAAATGTTAAATGATTTCATGCAATCATTATATTTTGATTAAAGATGAAGTGGGTAATTTCCATGCCACTAGTGGCACCAAACATAATTGCAATTGGCTGTTTGAGACGTTGGTTCAAACTGTTCCTGGAAAATTTTAAAGATGTTTGAGAAAATGGAATGTTCTCTCTAAAGTTTTCCATAAACAATGTTTGTAAAAGCAAGGGAAATCATTATTAAAGCTTTTGAACATATTGTTTCATGACTTAACAGGAGCATTGGCAATGTTCTTAGAATATTGATTAGTTAGTTGCGAATGGCATGAATTATTTTTGCATTTATGTCTGACGCTGTTAGTCATACAGAAATTACATACTTTACCATTTAGTCAAGGTTTTTTTTGGGGTTGGTTTGAGACTGTATCATGCTGCATATTTCAAAAATATTTAAAATATATAATAGATTTCTTTAAAAAAAACTATGAAGCAATTTCTAACTTCAATTCTATTTAGGTTGAAATTAATATTTTTAGGAGGCTCTTACCATTGCCTATAGGCTATCTTTTCAGGGTTTCCCACACAGGAAAGTGAGATGTTGTGCTGAACCCTAATTTGGGGCCAATTGAAAAGCCCTTGCCTGGTGTGATGGTTGTGCTCAGGACAGGGCCCTGTTTTTAAATAAGAAGAGAGATACATTCAGACAGCTTTGTGTATGGTTATAGAATTCAATTTATTATATATATTTTGTTTTAATAATTCTCCAGTTTCTGTCCATATTATAATGAAACAGGTATGTAGTACTGAAAATGTATCATAGTCTGATTCTCTCATCATCTGATTTTATTTTTCTTCAGATGTATCACATACCGATATAAGATATTAAAATGTCCTCAGGTTGGGCATATAAGAGTACTGCTCCATTGGTGTATTGTTTCTCCAGAAGCCCATGAATCCATTTTTCTGTCTCTCTGATGTCTGAAGAAGTTGTTACCTGGGCATGAAAGCCACAGCTATGGCTGGGAACAAGCCATATCAGATAACCCCATTAAAACACATTGTATGTTCACAACAATTATTGTTCACCATTGTTAACTTTTCTTCAACTGCTGTCTTGTAATGATCATCTCACCTGGTTACTGAAAGCAGAGACCGCTGCAAGACAAATAAACAAGAACAAAACAATATTTTTGTGTATCTAATATAGAGAAACATTTTCAATTTCTAATTTAGTTCACATTTCTAAAACAAACGTGAAAACGACATTTCTTTTTTTTTTTGAAAATTGCTGTTAACATTTGGAAGTTTTTACCTTTCTATCCACTTTGAATGTTTTTGTTACCACACTGCAAATGCAAATCAGACATGTTAAAAAAATTCTATAGTGTGTCTTGGGATTTGGTCTGTTCTCTGCAATAACAACAAGACTGACTAACCTTCGTTTTCGTGCATGTGTTGAGGAAGTCAAGAGTTTGAAGTGCAAAACATGTATCCCTTTACTTGAAAGAGTTTCATGAAGCTGCAGTGATGATAAAACAACTGTGATGTGATGCTGAGATGTGATACTTATTTCCAGTTTGACATGCAACATATTTGGATGAATTTAGGTTCTCTTGGTTTAATATCTTACCCAGGTTGTAATTATGTTCTCAGGGTCACCAGAGCCATTGATAGTCACATTGACATTGACACTGAAATAACTTTCTATATTTAATACAATTAGACATTGTTAAATATTCCATACTTTGTAAAATCACTAACTGCACATGAGATTGAAGAACATGGTTTTATAACAGAAAACAAAAAGGTTATTCTTGACCTGATATGTTTCCTTCAGTTGAAATAGTAGAAGAGCATGCGGCTGTATTTAATGTAAGACTTCTTGTGGAGGATAAAAAAGTCGTGGAACTTCCTGCCAGGGTTGTTTCCATGAATGGTGTGGATGTAGTGACTGTTGAAAAAATGAAGAGATAAACATTCAAAGAATCCTGAGTTAATCTAAAATTGCACATAGGCCTATGCATGTTACAGTCCATAAGAGAGAAACAAATACATATAGTTGCTGTACAGACTTTTTTTTGTTTCCGTTGAGGATGAAACAACTTCTGTTGTTATTGCCACTTGATTGGGTGTTGTGCCTGTTGTTTTTGCAGTAGTAATAATTTCAGTAGTTGTAGACGTCAGCTGAGGAATTGTGGTTGTTCGTGTTTCAGTTGTACGAGGCAGAGACTCAGTCGCGGTTAAGGGTGGGTTTGTGTCTGGGTCCGGCAAGAGATCATCTAAAGATTAAAAACCAAGAGGATATATGAAGATAAAGTTAGCATCTGTTTTTATTTCATAGTGGTCAATTTTGTAACGCTTGGCGAGTATCTCAGTGAATTCATCCTGCATTTGTCCTACATCAGCATTAGGATTCACATTCAGGTGAGCCAAGCAATCAAACCTACAAAGAGATATAAGGATGACATTATCAAACATTTCTCAAACGTTTAATTGTAATTTTTTCATTTATCAGTAATGATGCATGTTTTTTTCTCCCTGAAAGGTAAATAAATATGCCAAAACTAATGAATGAAAAGCAAGCTCTTGCAGATTGTGACAGTTCTTTTAGAATGGAGATAAGAAGCAATTGAGAAGAGATTATCACTGGCTGAGTTCAGGACTGGTGTCAAACAGTTGCATGGTTCCCCCCTGCAAAGAGATATTTATCTTGTTAGTCTGATGAGCGTGTTTGATGATTTTTAATTTTACATACAAATAGTCTAAAAGGTATAGCTCACCCAAAAATGAAAATTTGTTGAATGTCATCAGAACAGATTTGGAAAAATTTAGCATTACATCACATGCTCACCGGATCGTCTGCAGTGAATGGGTGCCATCAGAATAATTCAGTTAATAAAATAATACAAAATAAAATAAAAACATTACATTAATCCACTAGTAACCTACACAACTCCAGTCCATCAGTTAATGTCTTGTGAAGTTGAATGCTATGTGTTTGTAGGAATCATGATTTAGACATTTTAACTGTAAATTATTTCTTTAGCCAAAATCCATAATAACGTTTCCTCCAGTGAAAAAATCCATTCCCTGTTGATATTTTATTTTAGCTGGAAGCAATAGCTTGAAAAATGTCTTAATGATAGATTTGTTTCTTGTAAACATGCAGCTTTTGACTTCATAAGACATGCTGTGATGTAATCCTAAATTTCACAAAATCTGTTCTGATGAAGAAACAAACTCATCGTGGATGACCTGAAGGCGAGTACATTTTGTGCATATTTTTATTTTTGGGTGAACTGTTTCTTTATTGCCACTGACGCACCTTTGCACTTCCACTGGAGCGTGTAAGAGCGCTGTTGAAAGACAACATGAGTAAATTTGGATTCTGGCCTTTGTACTAGGCTATATTTAGAAAGATATTACAAGGTCTTACCTTCCTATAGGAAACACTTTCACTTTATGCAAATATACATGTGTCGGCCATTCTTCTAATGCTTGTGTCAACTTGGAGAGAGGAAAGATATAGGCTACAAATATTATTGACATTTTGTCTTGGTACTAACAGCAGTAAAAATTCAAAGTGTGTTTTCTATAGCGCACCCACTGATGAGCAACTTCTGGGGCATCGTAAATGTTTGTTTTGTTTCCGTCTTCACGAATGATGATAAGCACTAATTTTACTTCATAAAAAGGCCAGTCTGGAACAAGAGGACATTGTGTCAGATATAAAAGGGTCCAATATAGAGGATAGATAAGTAAATATCGGCCCTCATTATTAGCTTGATAGTATTTAATTAGCGATAATGATCGGTTGACTGTATTTCCTTTACAGTTAAAGGGGTCATATGATGCGATTTAAAATTTTTCCTTTCTCTTTGGCGTGTTACAAGCTCTTTGTGCATAAAGAAGATCTGTAAAGTTGCAAAGACTAAAGTCTCAAATCCAAAGAGATATTCTTTATAAAAGTTAAGAGTCAACCACGCCCTCCTAAAACGGCTCATTCTAACATGCCCCACATACCTACGTCACGATGTGGGACGATTTGCATAACACCGCCCAAATGTTCACGCAAAGAAAGAAGGCGTAACTTTGATTCTCACTGTAGTATTGTTGCCGCCGCCGCCATGTTGTGGAGATGCTGTGTGTTTCGTTGTGAAAGCGAAACTACTTTGTTTGGCTTTCCAAAAGAGGACACAACTAGAAATCAGTGGTTAAGTTGTATTTACAACACTGTTCCAGAACAGTTCGACCCAAATATTCAGATGTGTGCAGCACATTTTGAGGAGGATGAGGACTATTTCCTGTGAGAGTAGCCTACAATGCCGGTGTTTGTTTCTATAAAGTGGGGCAATTCCAACTTTGCAAGGACAGTCTGGCGCTTCTGACTCACAGCCTGTAAGTAAGTTTTTTATATTTAAAGAATAGAGTAGCACTTTTTTTATGTTTTATGTTTACGCAGCACGATACGCAACGCAGCGCAACGCGTAAAAAGACAGTATAAGTTATTATAATCAGTAATTATGTCCCCACTGGATGCAACAAATGCCTCGTTTGTAATGGGTTTTATTGTTTTTGTCTTGTCGCGCAGGGACACAGGGCATCACAGTATGGTAAGATCGTAACATTTCCGTCACACGCTTGAGGTATTCAGCCAATCACAACGCACTGGATAGCTGGCCAATCAGAGCACACCTCGCTTTTCAGAACGATGAGCTTTGTAAAAATCGACGCATTTCAGAAAGGCGGGGCATAGAGGAGCAACAATGACATTCATTATGTGGAAAATAATGTGTTTTTTAACCTTAAACTGCATAAACACATTGCATTACACCAAATACACAACATAATGTTCAACGTCATATGACCCCTAATAATTGGACTTCATATGTACCTTTTGGCCCTCTAGCGATTAAAAATGAAATTGCATTAGTTTTAGGGAAGAACATTGTTTGGTTGTACTTCGGCTCTCTAAACAGATGATGATTTGTGGCACCGGTGCCCACAGATATACAGATATAGACAAATAAATTAGCCTGCGGGTTCTTTGTTTTTACAAGCGCTGATTCCCCGGAGGTTACCGCTTTAAAGGATTCATGGTCGATTTGGTTTTCTTAATCATTATGGCAACAATCTTACAGTATCACAATAGCCTACGCCCACATCATACGAGCACTGCAGTGGCCGGACCTGCTTTTCTCTCAGTATGACGACGAACAACAAGACGAACACTGCTACAATATTACAACAATATTAATACTGAAGTTAACTAATATAATTTGCAATACAGTAGATAACTAAGAAGCAATTTGTGTTTGTATGAATGTGAGTCTGTGGTGGCGTGATACGAGAAACATGAATGCCATTTGAAGAGTGGTCATTGTTATGGACCAATCAAAATAAAGCATTTCAGAGGGCCGTGTTTTTTACATTTATGGTAAATGTAAGTTTATTAATAACTATAAACCAACATTTAATTCTAAACTAACTACAGTAGTAACTAGCCTACTGAGTGACATCTCTAGCTATACGTATATGTATTCCTTGTCCATTTACTTTTTATGTTTATTTACAGTTCATTATCAAAAATAACAAAAAGTCACACAAATCTGGTTTTTAAATTCTATCTATGTTGATATGTTTGTGAAAATTGAAAACCTTATAATAAATAGAAAATAATACAAAAACATTTTTAAAACGATTTTTTGTATTCTATTTGTTAAAAAATGGCCATATACATTGGCATTGTTAACAATTTTTTGTGTGTATATTTCTGTCACTTACCGCACTTTTGCGTAATGTCTTGTATAGGCTTACAGTCCTGGGCTTTGTTCCAGATTCGTTTCTCCCAATGCAGAATATCCCCATCAGTGCAGGCCATCCTGGATATGTCTTGAGCGTTGCGTACTCGTTCCCACACCCTGAATAGACTTAAGCTGCCCTTCAGTTCAGTGCCCGTCTCGATGCTTATCTTGTTCTTCACAAAATTGTGGGCCACAGCTAAAGTCAGACTGCCACCGGCAGCCACGCTACAGCAGTAAGGCTCCAGAGCCGTTCCTTTAGACTGTGGTTTTAATTCTACTTTGGTTCCATTGACATAGACTTTTGGTTCAGTCATGGAGTTGGACCAGGTCATGCAAATTGAATGCCAGTTGTCCAAGGACACCACTGAAGATTTGGTCCAGACTCTCCCAAACATTATGATATGGAGTTCTGTTCCAAATCCCTTCAGCCCAAGCTCTATGCGTGTCTTATTAGGGTGCAGGTATGTGAACGCGGTCCAGTATGAATTGCTGAGCTTCCTCTTTATGTTCACACACACACTGAGCTCATTCAAGGAAGGAATTTTGTGTTCATTTTTCAGCAACCAGAAACTACAGTCCTTCTGCATGAAATCTATCTTCTTCCCCCACAAACTGGCAGCATGTACTGACCCTCAGGTGTAGAAAAATTAATTTGTAAAACACATTTTAGCACATAAACACTTCTGTCAAATTTTCATATATCAAACAAACAAAGGTTAAATATGTATTAAGTAACTCAGTTGTCCCAGTTTAGAAATGTATGTTATAATTTGTAAACGTTAATATATTTTGCACAACAATAATACCTTCATCCTTCGATGCTATTATACATCGAATGAGGAAGATGAATAAGGCCGGAACCAGTTTATTGCGTTTTTCCATTCTCCACCTGACAAAAGACAAGAAATAATAATATGCAAACATTGCATTGTGCTTTGAAATATAACACATATAACGTAGTACAAAGATTTTTAAAAAAAATGAAGCATAAAATTGGTTTTGCTTTTATATTATATATTTTAAGACAGTATCAAGCTCCACTGCAAACATAGGGTTAAAACAATTTCCCACTTTATTGCAAATTGTACTTCTTTCAGAAAAAAAGGAACAAAACTGTCACCCTTTCAAAAGGTATAAATATGTAACTTTTGGTGTTAATATGCACTTTTAAGTGTACTAATGTTACGTTACTAATACGTACAGGAAAATGAGGTACAAAGAAATACCTATAGCTTTTGTGTCCCAGTGCTTTCTAGCTTTTTTTCTTAGTGTTGAATTATATTCTGACTCATGGATAATTTTAATAAATGAATCTATCAAAAATAAAAGTGAGGTAAATTATTCAATCATTTTTCATTATGAAGTCACAAAAAATATCAGATGTAACAGAATCCAAATCCAAATTAAAACAACAGAATTAGGCTACTCACCGCATTCAGCATCTGCCACTGTCAAATTTCCACATAGGTAATTTCTTCATTTAAGAGTGTTTTTGAACATGTATGTTGGTGTGAAGAAATGACTATGAGAGAGATCTTGTGTTCATGTTAAAAAGTCCCCCGCGAACTTTTGGGTTATTCATTAAGCTCATCAATCATTATCTTATTCAGATTTGCCATGATGACATACACTGACAGCCAATGACTGTGTACATACGCATACCATCTTCATAAAGCAGCTATACGATCAGTCAGTATCTGTTATGCTTAGCAAACAACAGGTGCAACCAGGGCCGCATTAACCATTGGGCCCGAGCAAGGAGGGGGCCCGTGATTGGCTGTGGAGTAGATCGCCAAAGCCCCACCACGCCCCTCACTTTTTAGCGCTATTATTTAGTGGAGTTTTCCGTAAATTCCATGCATTACCATTAGAGATTAAAACGTCACATTTGAATTGGGTTTACCAAACAAATGCATTTATTATATATTTATTTATTATTATTCACCTCTCTTCACTTCACTCTGGTGTAATCTAGAAAACGGTCATGCAAAGAACAATCTTCGATAAGTAAAAATGTCAACTATTCTAAAAAAAAAATAGTGAGAGAAAAAAATGAGGAGAGAGGGGAAACATGAGTTAGTCACTAAAATTCAAAACTAGTTTGTTTTACTAAAGCTGATGATGGAGTGGGAGTTGTGGAACCGCAAATGGACCGGACACATGAGCAGATAAAAACACAGCGTTAAACTAATTAAACTGTTCAGGGACATTAAGCAGTGGGACAGAATTCATTTAGGCAAATGCGCTTGTCTCCTCGTCAACACAGTCATATGTGTCTTAAATGAACGTTAATAGTTAAAGACAAAGCATGTGCACTAGTTGGCTATTATGAGATCCTGGCATTATATGATGAGATTTTAAAGGGATATAGTTCACCCAAAAATGTAAATATTATAGTATCAGTTTACTCACAATACAAATAATATTATTTACTCAAGTTGTTCTGAACCTGTATGATTTTTTTGTTCTCCTCAACATAAAAGAAGATATTTTGAAGAATATTCGTAACCACCAGGAAGTTTCTGGTCCCTGTTGACTCCAATAGTGTTTTGTCTCTCCATCCGGAAGTCATGGGGCACAGA